TCCAGGGATAGTCCTTCCTGACAGCATGTCCAAAGTAGGCTAGAAAGAATCCTGAGGTGTTGGATTAGAATTGGAGGCATCAAGAGATGAAAGTTTGCCATTGCTATGTTCAAGGAGCAATCTAGCCCTACTTCTTCCAAAACAGATTTATTGGTTCTTCTGGCAATTCACGATAATTTCAATATTCCTCGCTAATACCATAAATCAAACACATCAGTTTTCCTCCAGTCCAGCTTTCACATACATATGACGCCGCTGAAAATACCAAGGCTTCAATCAGGTGCACATTAGACCTCAAAGTGACATCTTTGTTCTGTAACACTTTAAGGATGCCTTTTACAGCAGATTTGCCTATTGCCATATGTCATGTGATTTCTTGACTGATGCTTTTATAAGTATTGATTGTGGAGCCAAGCAAAATTAAATATTTGACAATGGCTAAATTAAAGATTGATAATACTAAGTGTTGGTAGAAAATGAACTCTCATATATTGATGTTGGAGTGCAAAATGGCTCATTTTGAAAAAACTCTGGCCATTTTCAAACAGCCACTTTGGAAATGCTGGTAGTTTTTTTGTAAGTTCAAGCATAGGTCTATTATACAACTAAAAAATCTTATTCCTAGATGTTCATCCAAGAGAAATTGAAACAAATGTCTACTTAAAAGTGTATCCACAATTTCCATAGCAGTTTTCATCATAATAATAAAAACTGTAAGCAACCTAAATATTCATCTGCTAGTGAATGGCTAAATTAAGAGTTCTGGTGTGGTGCTGCAGGATTGGTGTGAAATGTAAGGTTGGAAGTTCAAACCCACCAGCCGCTTCTCAGAAACTCTAGATGGGGTCACTATCAGTTGGAACCAACTCGACGGCACTTAATAAGAACATCAATAAAATGGATAAACTATTCATACAAAAATCCTCATATTGAACCAATAAATAGCATCATGATAAATGGAGAAAAGATTGACGTTATCAAAGATTTCATCTTGTTTGGATCCACTATCAACACTCATGGAAACAGCAGTTAAGAAATCAAACGACATATTGCATTAGGCAAATCTGCTGCACAAGACCTTTTTAAAGTGTTCAGGAGCAAAGATGTCAGTTTGAGGACTAAGGTGTGCCTGACCCAAGTCATGGTCTTTTCAGTAGCCTCATATGCATGTGAAAGATGAACAATGAATAGGAAGACTAGAAGAATTGATACATTTGAGTTATGGTGACAGAAAAGAATATTAAAAATACAGTGTACTACTGCCAGAAGAACAAACATATCTTTGTTGGAAGAAGTACAGCCAGAATGCTCTTTAGAAGCTAGGATGACGAGACTTCGACTCTCATACTTTGGACATATTACCAGGAGGGACCAATCCCCAGAGAAGGACATCATGATTGGTAAAGTGGAAGGTCAGAGACAAAGAGAAAGACCTTCAACAAGATGGGTTGGCACAATGGCAGCAACAATGGACTCAAGTATATCAATGATGGTGAGGATAGTGTAGGACAGTTTCATTCTGCCATGCATAAGGTTACTATGAGTAGGAACCAGCTCTACGGCACTTAACAACAACAACATTCATCAGCACAGAAGAACCTAAAAATCATTGTAAGAATCAGACACAAAAGACTACATATTGTATGCCTTCACTTATGTGAAATTCTACAAGAAACAAAAGTATAGTGATGTTAAGGAAGTCAGTGGTTGCCAGTGGGGAAGGGTAGGAGAAACAAGGCTGACTATGTAGGAACTTTTTGGGTGGTGTTCATGTCCTGTATCTTAACTATGGTGATGGTTACATAACTGTTTACATTTATTAAAAGTTACTGAATTGTACACTTTTAAGTTGGTGAATTTTATTGCATGTAATTTAAACCTCAGTAAAAATTGATTAAAAAAAAAAAAAGACAAGGGGGAAATAAAAAGATAAAAAGGATGCTTCCACCACTTTGCAAAGAAATTTATTCAAAGGTGTTGATGGAGGACCCAGTAGTAGCAAGGGAGAGGATGACTGATAAGACCCAGATAATAAGTACCAAAAGGAGCTGTGGTGATTACGAATCGGGTTACTAATCCCACGGTCAACAGTTTGAAACTACCAGCTGTTCTGGGGGAGAAAGATGAGGCTTTCTGCTCCTGTAAAGATTTACAGCCTTGGAAACCCTATGCAGGGTTGCTATGAGTCGGAACGGACTCCATGACACATCACAACAACAAGTACCAAAACAGAAACTAAACACACTGCCATCAAATCCATTTTAACTTATAAGGACTCCATAGGACAGAGCAGACTTTGCGCCATAGGGTTTCCAAGGCTGTAAATCAGAAAGGTTAAAATCGGCAAACTGATTCATCTTTCTTCCACAGAGCAACTGTTGAATTCGAACTGCCAACCTCTTGGCAAGCAGACAAGCAGTTCAACTACTGCGTTATCACGGCTCCATTCAGACATAAGTGGGGGATCAAAAACAAAGCAGAAAGAATTTAACTTAAACAGAGGATAGCACTTTTCTCTGAAACTAGAAAGGTGAATGCAGGTGTTGAAATTTTATAGTTTGTACTAGAAATATGAGCATATTTCCACTGAGAAAACAAGCCCTTTCGTTGGAGAACTGTCTGCATATAAGCTAAAGATAGAGGTAATATGCAAGAGTAATATAGTAATATAGAGAGCAAAGTATTAGTGAAAACCTAATAACTGATTATGAATCTGTTATTAGAATCAGTGCAAAATAAGATCGCTGTTGTTAAGTGCCATTGAATAGGTTCCAACTTATAGTGACCCTGTATGGGGTTTCTGAGAGCAGCTGTTGGGTTTGAACCACCACTGAAGTATAACAATAATTTTATGTTCTGCCTTCTTAATATCTTTAATACAGAGAAGAGGCTAGAAGTTCAGTGAGGGTCAGGAAGGTAGCTGAGGTCCTGAAGAGGCTGATTGGTATATAATCATGGACACTGTACTTACCATTTTTAATGTGACTGAAACGTGAATGTGATTTCACAAACTCTTAAGAGGAAACCGAAAAGCCAGAAAAGGTTAATGTTCTTCCCTATGTTAACAGTGCAACTGCTTGTTTGTTGTTGTTGTTAAGTGACTCTGTATAGGGTTTCCCAGGAGCGGCTCATGAGTTTGAACCACTGACCTTGTGGTTCAATCTGACTTTGCAGTTCATTGCTTATCCTAGAGCACTACATCAGGACTCCAATTGCTTGTTTAGCTGTAAAAAACTTGAATCAAAGTTGACAATAAGAACACTTGGCTATAGCAAAGCAAAAGGGGTGGAAACTGCCAATTATATAGTTACAATTTACATAAAGTAATTGGATGCTCCAGCAAACAAGGTAATGGAAGAGCAAGACAATGAAAGCCACTTTCCTTTCCCTGAAAGTTGAGTGCCCTTCCCTGAAGTTTGAAGTCCTGATGTGGTGCTATGGAAGAGCTGGTTGGTGGTTCAAACCCACCAGCAGTTCCTGGGAAACCCTATACAGGGTAGTTATGAGTCAGAACTGACTGGATGGCACATAACAATACTTGAAGGTTAATGTTCAAGACCCTGGAGTATTATTTTCATCCCATATCAGGGTTCTCCAGAGAAACGAAATCAGTAGGAGATGGTTTGTCTGTTAAGAGGTTGGGCCACTGAATATGTTCGAAAACAATCATCTAGAATGTTCTCTAATACTGCTTTTGGCTTTAAGAGAGTACGAGACAAATATAGTTCCCCTGATTGAGTACTGGAAAACAAAATGATCGATAGCTGTCTCCTTCCTCTGAGTTAACTAGAAAGGACTCTCAGAAATCACAAGGCAGGTCTATTACTTAGAATAGTTAACTGGCTATAATTTTGGCACCTCTTAAGCAGGGAAGCACAATGCTAAAGAGCAAAGGTGCTGAAGTCACATTATTGAGATGCAGCCTGAACTTTGCTGACAGTGTGACTTGGGCAAGTTATTTGTTTGAGCCTAAATTCTTTCATTTCATATGTTATAAAATAGACAGTAGTACCTAGCTTGGTACCTACCAGTACCCCTCGGGAGGTTATTTTATTTTTAAACTTTTTGAAGTGTATTGAAAGTGACAAGTATAGTCAGAAAAGTGCACAATGCCAAATGTTCAGCTCCAATCGTTTTCACAGAATGAACACATCCTTCAAAAATGCTTTCATTGCCCCTGAGGTCACGGAAGTAGAGGGATACGGGCCCCACCCTGGAAACTCCGAGTGAGTAAGCCTCGAACCTTAGGCAAGTACATTTTAAATCTCCTCAGGTGATTCTGACTCTTCGTCGTGTCCGAGAAGCACAAAATACGTAAAAATTTAAGGGAGAGCGAGTGCGCGGGTGGGTATCGTCCGCCCGCGATAGGTTCCATCGTGCCAGGGCGCCGCACCTTCCCTCTTCGGCGCCCAGACACCCGGCAACGCGGAGCCTGTTCATGACTTCACCTCGCTAAACTCTTCCCTATCCTACCTCACCACCCTAGAGCAGGACAGAGGTTGAAGATAACTCCCTAAGTTCCTGGCACCGAGTACCAAAGGGGTCCTTTCGTTTGCACCGACCCGCCTTCCCGCCCCAGGTGGCGCGCGCCCGATTGCGCAGCCACCGCCCCGAGCTGCCGCGCCCGCCCGCCGGCCCCGCCCACCCTGCGTGATGACGTGTACACGCCTCCTGCGGGCGGAAGCGCGGGCGCGGTAGCGGCGGCTTGGCTAGTGGCAGGACTGGGCTGGGCGATCGCCCTCAAAGAGGCGCTGGCGCACGCAGTGGACAGTGTCGGGCCCCGGCCCCTGGGAACCGTGGGTCCACCCATCCCGCCTTGGTTTAGGGAAGGGGAAGCAGTGTGTGGGAGCAAACCACGGCCGTAGTCGCTGCTGCCGCCCTCTAGACGTGGTTTCGAGATGAGTAGCTCCCGGGAAAAGTGTCCAGGAGGCGCGACCGCCCCTGGGGCCGGGGGCGACCCGGGCCCCGCCGTGGCCATGGGACCCAAGACTGAGGGGCGCCCGGCGCCCGAGCCCCCTGCTTCCATGCTGAGCGTGGACGTGCCGGGGCTGCTCACGCAGTTCGCGCGCAGCTTCGTGCTGCTCTTCCCCGTGTACGCGCTCGGCTACCTGGGGCTGAGCTTCAGCTGGATCCTGCTGGGGCTGGGGCTGCTCTTCTGGTGCCGGAGGAACAAGGGCCACAAGACGTCCCGCCTCTCCCGGGCGCTGGCCTTCCTGGAGGACGAGGAGCAGGCGGTGCGCCTCAGCGTCTGCTCCTCCGACCTGCCCGCCTGGGTGAGTGGCCGCCCCGGCCCGAGCGCGGTCCACGCGGCGCGCACCTCCCTCCCGAGCCGCGGGGTTTCCACGACCTGCTTATGTAAGGCTGCTCTCTTACCAGACCCCGTGGAATCACTTTCCTGCCACTGTCCACGGTCGTTCTCCGAGCTCCTGTCACGGGCGATCCTCTTCAAATGCGCCCTACCTTTTACCGCTTCCCCTCACTTTTTGCTAATCTCGAGGCTGAAACGTACATGGGCTAATGTGCATTACATTCTTCTCTACTTTGGCCACATCTTTCCCCGAAAAAATGAAGGCCTTTCCTATTTGAACCCAAGCTTATCTGCGTGGTGGAAATGACTATTGCTTTTTGGTATGTCTTTTTAGGGAGATGAGTAGTTGTTTCTGGTGTTCAGAGCCATTAGACAGTCTCGGTGTTATTTTACATCACCCTGCGGCTGTAGGCCTGGAAGTGATTCGTTTGTAGTTTTCTCTGTCTTAAAATGTAGTGAACGAAGTATTTACTTCTGACAGCTAGTGGGGGGAGATTTATTTTTCTCCTACCCTAAGGAGATGCATTCATTATATTTTGTGGTGTTTTTTTTTTCTGACTCAGTTGAAAAACATGAGTATCCACTGAAAGATTTGTGCTATTAGAATATCTGAAAAGTTTGTTTCTTTGGGTGTGTGTGTTTTTTGCAGCGAACAATGTAAAACTGTCTATAAAATAAGCACTTTTGTATAGGGTCAGTTCGAATCCAGTGTGGATTTTTGGTTTTATTTTAATGAAGTTTTGGAAAAGTTGTACTAATAATAGTAAGAACCATAATATTCATTATATTATTAATACTTCAGGCAATCCTCTGCATACTACATTTATCTAAGTGTGGAAACTCATGGAGTTGGGGGTGCTCATCTTTTTCTCCTTGTTCCCAAATAATTCCTTAGCCATGAATTGGTGTCAGATGCAGGCTGCAGGAAATAATGCTTACTTTAGGATAAAGATGTACCACATAGGCTTAATGTAAACGTCCATGTGAAAGTGACCAGCGGGTGAGTTTCAGAAGGATCATTTATTTTAGAGGAGAAAAGGACTTAGAAAGTGATCCTTGTTTACAGTTGTTAAGACACTTCTTAAGTAAGGCATGGAGTTAATGACACAAAAGACAAAAATGAAAGAGCAAAAGTGATTAAGACCAAGGAGGGGGTTACTAGACACTATTTTGTGATGGCAAATAGAATATCATAAAGTAAGGCTTTGGAACTTAAGATTCTGTCAATATGTGGTGGACATATGGAACAGTGTAATCTTTTAGAAAATCTCAATAAACTGTGGTAGATGGAGGTTTCAGTTTGAAGCAGGATTAACAAGGTGTGAAAAACAGGAAGTTAAAGTGACCAAGGTGGGAACCACCAAGAACAAATGCGCACGTTGGAATTGCAAAGTGTAGCTTTTAAATGGCATCTTGCTTCTACATGAAACGGAGTTAAATGATATTAGAAAGTAACTACCAAAACATAGTGTAGACACATTACCAAAACAGTAAGCACAATCTGCTAAAATTTGCATGATGTAGTTGACTTTCATAGATCCTTATTGAGCAGCTGGGTAATATCAAATTTGCTTGTAAAAATCCTTGTGAAATGCAAACTGTTTTCTCCTAGAAAATTAACAAGTATAATTGCTGCCATGCTGTAGGACTAATTTCTTTTAACAGAATAAGAGTAGTTAGCCAAAGATTCTTTTCCCAGGTTTTTCTCAGTGTGACTTAAACTGATGAACTGTGGTGTTCATCTCATGGAGTAAGAATTTATGTTCTCCAGAAACGTTCACTTGTTTATTCCAAATTTATGTTTGAATTGATACCACACTTAGGTTTCAACCTGCCGATATTGCTTATAAAACTTCTGGAAGGCTACAAGAAGCTTGACAGTGAGCATATCTAGGGATAGCACTAGGAATTGGGGATTTAAGGGAGGCTTTTTTTTCTTTTCATTATAATAAACCAGTTGCCATGGAGTCCTGGCCCACTCATGGTGACCCCGTGAGTGTCAGAGCAGAGCTGTGTGCTCCATAGCGTTTTCAGTGGCTGATTATTTTGAAGGGAATTGCCAGGACTTTTAGGCTGCCTCAGGGAGGTTTCAGACTTCCGACTTTTGGGTTAGTAGCTGGTATTGGATTACCATACATTATTTCAGTAATAAAACCATTGGATTGTACTGTCTAGCATTGTACTCAATATTCTGTTATATCCAGGAGTAAATAAACAATAGTAGAATGGCACTATAGGATGACCACTGGACTACTAACCAGAAGGTCAGTGGTTCAAACCCACCAGCCACTTCTTGGAAACCCTACACAGGATTGCTGTGAGTCAGAACCAAGTCGACACTTAACAGCATACATGCATAAGAGGAGTTAAAATTTCAGTATTAATATGACTGTTTTTTTTTTCTACCTTACCTAGGTTCTTGGATTTTCTGAACTTTGGGTTGGTACTTTGCTTTGGACTAGATACATTTGTATACCCAAAGACTACACATTTTCATAGTATGTATGTCATTGATGACTATGATTCATGACAGAATGAAAGCATAGAAAAGCATGAACCAGTGTGATATAATTTCTTAATCCCCCTTTTGGCTATGTTCACGAAAAGCATTTCTTCTTTAATTTAGTAAAATAAAAATCTATACCGGATATGGAATTGAATAATCGAAGATTACATATGTACTCTTCCCAAATTGAGTCTCCTAGATGAAAAACAGCTCTTACCGAACATGTGGTGATTCTCTAAGACTTTGGTCCTACAGCTGTAATAGATGAGTAAACTATTATTATTCATTCTTCAGTTTCCTTTTTTCCATAAACAGGGAAGAAGCCTAACAGGCTTGGGTTGATGGATTGAGGGCTGCTGGGCTTTGTTTTAGCCATGTCTTCTTTGTGTTAATTGTTGTTATTAGGTGCCATCAAGTGGATTCTAAGTCATAGCAACCATGTAAATCTCTAAATCTTTTTCAGGAACAGAAAGCCTCGTCTTTCTTCTGCAGAGCAGCTGGTGAGCTTGAACTGCCAATGTTGTGGTTAGCAGTCCAGTGCTTATCCCACAGAGTCACCAGCACTTCCTATATTGTGTTAATGTTGTTGTTACGTGCTATTGAGTAGGTTCCAACTCATAGCGCCCCTGTATAAGTTTTATGAGACTGTACATCTGCCTCATCTTTCTCCCACAGAGCAGTTGGTGGGCTCGAACCACTGACTTGTGATTTGCTTATCCTGCAGAGCTACTGCACTTCCCCATTGTGTAAATGTGGTTGTTGTTAGGTGCCACTGAGTCGATTCTGTCTCATAGCAACCCTGTGCACAACAGAAGGAAACACTGCCCAGCCATGCGCCATCCACATAACTGTTGTTACATTTGAGCCCATTGCTGCTGCCACTGTGTCGATCCATCTGGTGGTAGTGGTGGTGGGGGGTCTTCCTTTTTTCAAGGATCCTCCATGTTACCAAGCATAATGTCCTTCTCCGGAGTCCTGGTGTGGCTCTGTGAGTTAATGTGCCAGACAGCAAAGCCGTTTGAACTGCAAGGTTACCAGCTCAAGCTCAACAGTTACTCCTCGGAAACCCTATACAGGGTCACTATGGGTCGGAATCGACTCAGCGGCACTTAACAACAACGTCTTTCTCTAGGGATTGGTCCCTCCTGATAATATATCCAAAGTATGAGCAATATAATGTTGTTGTTAAGTGCCATCGAATCAGTTCCAACTCATAGCGACCCTGTATAGGGTTTCCAAGGAGCAGCTGGTGAATTTGATCCTCTGACCTTACGATTCACATGACCTTTCAGTCCATTGCATTATCCCACAGCTCCACATCAGGACTCCAAGAGAGGTATAATAGGGCCTTACAAAATTAGACTATAAGTGGATATATTTTTTTTAACTTTTATTATGAATTATGTGATATTTACATGGGAGAACATTAGCTTTACATTCATCCAATCATATATTGTTACATTGCCATGCTTACAGTCCCCTCCATGCATCATCAACCAACCAAAGGGTATACCCCACAAGCCTGCCCCCTGGTCATCAGCACACAGTCCCTCTCCCTCTCTGGGTCTAGAGTTTCCAGCTGCTCCATCCCGCCACATCATTGTCTCCGTCTCCATCTCTGGTGTCACTGTTTCTCTGGGTTTCACTGTTTCTCCCGTACTCCGCTCTACTCCCTTGATCACCCAGACAGATTGGATACTACTCAGTGGAGATTCTACCTTCCTCCGCGCCCTTTGGATCTAGGCTCCCTCTTGAAAGCTTGTAAGCCAGTCACTTCTTGCCATTGTAAACCCCCCCTCCCCCCCATTTTGGGTAGCCAATGTCCAAGTTTCCCATTTCTGTTTACCCTGTGTATTGAGGGAGTGGGAATGATCCTCGCTGTAAAGATTTATTCCCTCTTTTGAGCTACTGCATCCATAGGTGAAGGTCAAGTTCATCAAATTGTATCAGATTACTCTTTTGTTCCTCTTCTTTCTTCTTCTAGTTAAGCTCGATCATCCAGTCACTGAAGCCAGGTCAAGTGGGTATTATCTGCAAGTGTGGGTATTCTTGTGTATATGCCCTCTCTTCTTATCAGCTGTGTGCTTCATTATCCACTTTAGTCCTCTGTGGCTATGTCACTGACTCTGGGCCCAAGAATCCCCAGGTCTTGCCAAACTGCTGGCCAACCAGGTCTCCACCCAGGTTCACAGGAATGTGGTAGGGCTTAGCTCACAGCTTCCTTGCTGTTTTTCCCTCACTTCCCCTTATCGGTGACCAACATGGTCACCAGTCAGAGCACGTGTCTGCTTGTGTATTCCCATTGAGTCTTAGTCTTGGAAGGAGGTTTGCCCTTCCAAGGGGATCCGACCGCTTGCCTGAATATCTCCTGGGTGAGCTACTTGCTTGTTCTTGTAGTAGTCAGTTGGACTGTTGTTACTGTTTTGTATTTTTCCTGTCAGTCTTTCTTTCAAGAAGTA